TCTGAATATATGAGACATAATGCACCCAACCCACCCCCACCAATTATCGATTAATTTATCTTACTATTTATAGCAAGTGTATGAAGAAAAAAATTCATAATCATTCATCGTGATTAAATTAATGTCCCCAATCAAACTAACAAATAACTAGATAGAACCATGTGTTGCATCCATATATCATTATGTGAGGACAGTGATCTAGCACAACATGTGTGGACCAAATATGCATTATGTGAGATCAGTACTGTTTAGGTCGATTAATAATTACATTACATGGGACTGTATTATTAATCATTCGTCTTCACAAAAGATTCCCGTAAATTATAATGGCATATATAATCTTAGTTTGCTTGGTATTATTTGCTGATTATTATTTCATTTCTTGCAGAGACGTATCTCACTGTGCTGTTACTTTCTATTTTCAAATTGAATTAAATAGAAAAACTGAGGAAAAAGTCACGCCAACTAGGGTATTATGTCCCCGTACACATGATCCAAATTTTGGGATTTTCCTTGGTTCCTTTGCAAAAAGGGCACCATTGATGTAATAGTAATATTTTATATACGTAATCATATTACACATGTGAGTTCGTCTCTTTTCTAATATTTTTGATTATGCATTATCTATAAGCACATATTTACTATATGTATGAGATATTCGGCGATTCTTCGAATATTTGGAACACTGTCTTTTTTGGATCTGTTGATTTCTGCAAAATACTGAAAAACGAGAGAATGTGGCTACGTCACATTTAGATTACGTGGATTTCGTAAAATTTGATTTTCAATGACATTGATGTACTATGTACAAATTTTAAGTGAAAACAGATTTATCTTCTGTTAGAGGTGAGATTCGTACCGTCTCTAACAAGTCCGATATGAATTCTGGTCGGCCTGTCTAACAAATTTCAGGTCGGTGATATAAAAGAAAATTTCCCATTTATCGAACGATCTGGGGAAAAAGGGAAACTCCTTCTTGTCGGCAAAAAAGATTTCCTATTCTAAACAGGTTGAAGACCGACCTGACCAAGCTATAAATATAGGAAGTCCTTGACTCTTGAAATCCATCCAAAAATCATCTATCGAGACCTAGGGCAAACTAAGCAATCTGATTGTTCTAGCTTTCGATTTACTTTCCATAAAAGTTTAGGTCGGCGTTCTTATTTCGACGACCTAAACCCCCGTGTATTCATTCAAGCTCCGGCTTCTTCTAATAAAAGACTTCTCTTTAAACCCACAAACCCTAGTTCTTTCATAGATCGAACTTGAGTTTTTACAGTTGGCGCCGTCTGAGGGGAATAAAAGAGCAATCTTTGACTTAAAATGGAGTTTGAAGATGGTTGAAACACCGATCAACACTACCGACCTCACAGGAGGAGCCTCCGATCCGACAAGAAATATTCAGGATCCAATCATCGACCCAGCCACAGGGCTTCTGGTGGCCCACCAGACCGATCAGGAAGACAACACAACTACCGCACAGAACACCGGGGGAACAGACCAGGTCGGTCAGACGGGTGGCACAAACACGACCAGCCTGCCACAGCCACCTCCCATCGACATGGCCACGATCATCAGGCCGGTTGCAGCACAGTTGCAACAGGGGATGGATGCTCGCTTCGAGTCCCTCTGTGCCGAGCAGATAGCTTACAGAGAAGACTTGGATCGGCTTATAAACTCTAGGGTTCATACCCAAGAGCAGGCCGATCTTATCACTCCCCTTCGCCTCCTTCCGCTAGGGTTTGACACGTGTCAACCCTAGTTCTGCATACGCGGGCCTGGGCCTGACCTACATCATTTTTGGGCGGGAGTTTTCACGCCCATATTTATCATTTGACCTACGAGATCAAATCCGATCTGAATCAAAGGTAATTTTATATTTATATTTCTAACTCTTTTGCAGCCGACCAGAATTCACATCAAGCAGCATTTCTTTAAATTCGACAAGCAATGCATCCTCACTTGCCGAACTGGGGGAGAACTTACTGTTAGAGATGAGATTCGTACCGTCTCTAACAAGCCCGATATGAATTCTGGTCGGCCCGTCTAACAAATTTCAGGTCGGTGATATAAAATGAAATCTCACATTTATCGAACGACCTGAGGGAAAAATGGAAACTCCTTCTTGTTGGCAAGAAGGATTTCTTATTCTAAACAGGTTGAAGACCGACCTGACCAAGCTATAAATATAGGAAGTCCTCGACTCCTGAAATCCATCCAAAAATCATCTATCGAAACCTATGGCAAACTAAACAATCTGATTGTTCTAGCTTTCGATTTACTTTCCATAAAAGTTTAGGTCGGCGTTCTTATTTCGACGACCTAAACCCCCGTGTATTCATTCAAGCTCCGGCTTCTTCTAATAAAAGACTTCTCTTTAAATCCACAAACCCTAGTTCTTTCGTAGATCGAATTTGAGTTTTTACATCTTCTAAAATGAAAACAGTTAAATATTTTTTTCTTCAGTAATGGTAAATTTTTTTTTAATTAATTTCTGGATGAATATACATATTTTTATTTTTAAATATCACATGGGATCCAACTATTTAATTAATCTCACTATTATACTACTAGTTAAAATATAGTTTTTTAAAATTATCTCTAATGATATTGGAAAAAATCTACATTTTTTTAGGTCCAAATACATATCAAATTCGATTGACTCCGAGTATAAAAACCCTAAAATTACCTTTTTATGATTTTAATAATTTCGTTAAAGTTTAAACTGATGAAACTATGTTTTATATTATCATCACTTAATATCATATATGTTTTGCAGTACGATTATATCAATGTGGGGTTTGATTTTCCTCGTAGTGGAAAACTGAAGGAAACAAAAATATTATGAGATGAGGTTAGTGATGAAAATCAACCCCACATCGAATTCTCAATATTATCTAATGTTTTAACAGGTTCGTGAAAACCGTTATTAAAAAAAAAAAAAAAAGATAAATGACAGGTTACAAAATATTTTATATGGGAAGAAAACGCTTTAACAAGTTTTCGAATCAAAATTCTACAAGCTCACTACAATTAAAACAACGGATTAACAACCAAACTAAATATAGTTGAAATGTCTATTTAAACTCAAATTCTCTTAGCCAAATGAAAAAAAAAGCTCGAATTCTCATAACAATGAAAATAAAATTAGCTTACATCATTACATTAGAATGTTTATAAATGAGTGAATTGTACATGAAATGATGAAGGTCCCCCTCGCAAACGTGGTTTGTCCCAAAGTCTTATTATGAGTTTGCCACAAAGGCTTCTTTACCTCAGATGTTGTTAGCTTTTTCTTTTTCTTTTTCTGCATGTCGAATTTTACAAGTCAATGTTCATAATGATACCCGAAGCAATTTAATTGGTAAGAGAATCGTTCTCTCTTTTTTTCATTATTAGATAAAATATCACGAAATAGTTCATGTCGTAATTGATTTCTACTGTAACGTGTTGCTTCCAAGTATGTAAAAAAAGAAAAATACAAGCCAGTATATGCATGTACGTATATGAAAATCAAGTGTAACTAAGGTGATGTCAAGTCGATGCATCATATTCAATAGTACAAGTGTACAACATTAATCAATGTGGCTTGTTATGTTTCTTGGTTTGTGATATTGTGTAACGTGTAATGTGTGTATGGGCTTAATTTATTAACTGGATCTCTCTTCTCCTAATGGCTTATACGTCCTGTCGTTGTAGGATACCACCACGCAAGTATATGTTGCCTTGCTACTTTATTTTGTTATTATCATGTTTTAATCTTGTAAAATATTTATAACAAAAATGTCTAATTCATGCAAAAATCCTTTTTAGTAGTGGGAGAAAAATGGGACAAGTCTTTATTTTGGGTCCGTCTTTCCATAACTGCGAATATATGTGTGCATATTCAAAAGGTCACTAACTGTTAAATACTTTATTCAATGGTCCTGATTACCGAAAGATTCAAAAGGTAAATAAGAGAAATGTTGATTTTTTATAAATCATTTTTGTACAAGTTTGAAACAATCAAAAGGGACCAAAATACATGCCTCACAAGCCTATTTAAGACCAGCCAAACCGAAATTAATATGGGCCAAAATTCGGGCCTTAAGCTATGGGCATTCTTAACACAGTTGCAATGGACTTCACTAGCTGCCTAGGCCATTCCCATCCAGGAAAGTCAATACAGTTTTCTTTCAATTTGTCTTTCAATCTTTTCCTTCTATAGCATGCTTAGTAATGATGAATCTACAATTAATCTTTCAAACATAGTTGGTAGATTAATAACCTTTTTTTTTTTGCTAATTTGTAAATGTCATATTAAAATGAAATGGTGAGTTGTATTTACATAATCATAACCCAAAAACTAGGTACCATCACAAACAATTTTTTTATGTGATAGCAAAGAGTATGCCTCATTGAACTATTGAAGCCACAATGGCATTGAGTTTTCAAAATTTCTTCTAGCAGTGATTGTGTTTCTGATCTGTCTATCAAGATAACCCTATGTGATTAATTTTTGATAAAACTTTTTTTTATCTTTCCTGATTTATATAACCAGTTGAAAGTTACAAGAAAAAACCAAAATAAAATAAAATTTACTTGCAAATATAATTGAAACTAACCTTAACCTCTTCTCAAAGCATCAAGCAAAAAAATTAGAAATGTTTTTCTCTCCTAGTTAACATTATTGACTAGTTTTCATTTAGTTTTATGTATGTGTTATGATTCCATTCATATAGTACATGTCTTCTCCTAGGATTCAACAATCTTAGTTTATTGTTATCGAGGAAGTTCGAGTATCAATTAGACGAATAAGATAAAAAAAAGATTCAAGCGTTGTTCACAGCTTTTATTGTTTACATCTTTCGCAAAAGAAGCAGCAAAGTTGAAGTTTGAAATAAGAAATGAATCAAAAGAGGTAAAGATCAGAATCAACATGAGAAAGAAGAAAAGACCCGAGTCAAGGCTTTTGCGAAAAAGAAAAGAAAAAAAACCAAATCTCCAAAAGAGCTGTTCACTTAAGAGAAGGCGTAAGCAGGAGTGGTCTTGAAATCGAGCTCCCAGAGATCAAATGTTCCTTTGACGAAATTGTAGTGAGCTCCTCTGATTGCAAGTTTGTTCTTCACTACTTCAGCTCTCACGAATGGGTATGAAAGCAAGTTTCCAAGCGACACATTCACAGCTTCCTGCAAAGAGACATATACATATTTGTTACACACATCTCTTTCTTCTCAACCATTTTAAACAGCATAAATAAACAGAGCATGTATTGTTCTGTTTTTTTTTGCTATTATTACCTTCTCACACTTGTTGCATTGATCGTCGTCGCTTAAATCTTTATGTTCGTCCTTGACCTTGTTCCTCGCCTGTGCGCCTATCTTCACCCAATTGTGTATGAAGTCACTGCCATTTTTACAGATTGTTCATTGCTTTATGTCAATATCAAAATACTGTACCCTTTGAATCATATCAAATCAGGTATAATTACAAGACTAATTAGCATTTAATTACCTCTGAGGTGGTGCGGCATCATCCTCAATGGACATGAGTCCCTTAATCCCACCGCAACAGCTATGGCCTATCACCAGAATGTTCTCCACCTGCCAAAATAAATGAATATTAAAAAAACTGTTTTGACTCTGAATAAAAGAATTTTGCAACTTGATGCATTATCCAAAACGATTCAGCTTTTTTCTATTTAAAAAAAAGAGAGATAACTGTGAGATGCAATTCCTAGTGGCAAAAAGAAAAAGGAGGAGGCAAGACTTTGGTGGATGGATGCAATGGGGACAAATGCTACAGTACTGTGACTAGACATCAACTTTTAGTAAAAGGCCATGTGCAAAATCAAAAGAGCCAAACTTTGTGTGTTTTTGAATACTGATTGTATAAGATAAGCAAGTTTACTTATTTAATTAAAAAACTAAGTGCGTATCCTTAAAAAGAGGGTTAATTTTTTATATACCTTGAGATGTACAACTGCGTATTCAACGGCGGCACCAACTCCAGAATGTCTCTTCTGAAAATATATCAAAAGAAAGCTTTATATTATATGAAATCTCTTTGTGCTTTCAGTTGTTTTTTTGAGTCAGAAATGGTTTTTCTTATGAACCTGGTCGAAAGGTGGAACCATGTTTGCAATGTTTCTAACAACAAAGGCCTCTCCAGGTTGAAAATTTAAGATGTGAGATGGGCAAACTCGAGAATCCGAACAAGCGAATACCAGAAACTGCAAAATCAATTAAAGTTTCAACATCGTTTCATATAGTAGTTCTTTGTTTTATATAGCTCATTATCAAGAAAGTGGTCCTTCTTCTCTCAGTTTCTAAAACTGTTTTGCTTATTCATAAAGTCAACAATCACAGTTGGATTAAAGCATTCACACCTTTTTCTGATATTAGTATAATCCAACTTTCTAGTTTTTAGGTATTAGTCAAATAGTACCAAGGAAAAGTGAAAAAAAATAACAAAACAAGTAAATGAACAGATAGAGTTTTTTGGGAAAGTTGAAACCTTTGGGCTCTGAGTCTTGGCGAGAGCATTGAACAGAGTATCATTCTTCCTGGCAAATTTTAAAGCAAAGGCAGAGAATTCATCAGAATCAGGTTCAAGTTTTAAAATCCAGAATTTCATTTAAAGAACCTTTTTGTTTCGTTTTTTTTTTGCATATACTACTAAGTGGATCCTATTTTACGCCCTTTTTAATATAAGCACGATCCGACTAATTAATTAGCTTTTAAGCACCTTTAAATAACCTTTTTAGCACTGAACACACAAACAATTTTAAAAAAAAAAACCATAAAACTTAGATAATACGGAAAAAAGTGGATAATTATATCATTAATGGGGGTGCTTTACTAAAAGCAGAAAATGGACCATTGGTGATTCCATTCCAGCTTCACGAATTTCTTTCCGAATAGAACAAACATTAATTAATTAAATTATTTATTTATTTTCCTTAAAAAGCGTAGAGAAAATGAAGTAATTTAAAAAACTCACAAGTATATCTGAGTCTTGAACTGGGTGAAACCGGTTTTGATCCGTTCAACGGCGTCGGAGTTGCTGGAATCAAGCTCCTCCAGCTCCGCCGTCAACGCTTTGATCTTCTCGGCGGCGACGTTTCCGAGATCTGATTTCTTACTGCCAAAGAAAACAAAACAAAATAGATAAAAGTTTTTAGATAAAAACGTCCAAGGGTAAAAAGGGAAACAACGTTAAGGTGGGACCTAGTGATCGACGGCTACGATCGTGCAGAAAATCCGAAATGTCGGGTCATGAGAACAAACAAAAAAACGCGGAAATCAAAAGAAACACTGCTTTTTTTTTTTCTCTTCCGATTCAACGCGATTTTAAGCTCTGATGATGGGCGTTGATTTTGGGGGAAAACAGTTGAGAAATTAATCAAACGATGATAGATTCGTGAAATTGGTTAAAAGAAAGGAGACGACAAAGTGTTGATCGTTGAAGGTGAATATGCCGACACTTTTATCTAATGATAGGAGAGAGAGAGGAGAGGAGAGAGAATGTCGTACCTGAGAAGATCCTTGAGTCCTTTAATGGCGGCTTCGTACGCGTCCGTGGCCATTTCGTCTCCTTCCTGTTTAAAATCGGGTCAAATTTCAGGAAAAAAAATTCAGAGCAATCAACTAAATTTGAGGTATGAATAATCGAAACGATCTGCTTGGAAAGACGAAACGATCAGGATGATTGATTATGAGCTGTGAAACCTAGAGATTGGGATCTGAGAACAGACCTAAGGGTTCAAAAGCAGAGGCTGTTTCTGGAGATTATTAGAAAAATCCTTATGGAAGAATGTGAAATCACTTAATGCAGCAAGGTGCTCTGTTATGAAATCGGTATTTATAGACCGACGAGATCTATACCGTATATAATGCCATTTGGTTCAACTCTTACAATTTGTTTTTTATAAATAAAAAAAAAGAGGAAACTCCACAAAAATGGGAAGGTAAAAATAATTTTAAATACTTTTTGGGACAGTGACTTTGAATAAAACTATTTTTTAAAAGTCTGGGGGCGAAATGGTGATTGAGGAATATAATAATATACGACGAGACTAAAGAATGAAACATGCCGAGTATATGATTCTGTATTTTTGGGTATTTATTTATCATTTACACATTTTCTTTATTAAATCAAATTTCATTCCATATTTTTCTCCCTATGTTCCTGTATTCCATTTGGGGTAAAGTTTTGTGTTAGGTAACAATTATTTTCTTCCTACCCAAGAATCTTGAAAATTAAAACATTATTGATTACAAACAAAAATAAACTCATCATTTTTTTGTTTGGTACAAAACTTTTTCCATACAAATACCAATCAGAAGTTATCACGCAGATAAGTACAAACATCACAATTAATAGACAAGATAAACATGACCCCATAACATTACATGTACATAGATGAAATGTTTCTTTAAGTAGGTGTTTTAAGTAAATGTATAACGTGAATATTACAAAATCTTATTTCTGGTGATTGATTTTAATGATATAAATATTTTAATGCTGAATTAACATTTGGTATCAAAAATAAACCCATCGTTTTTGTTTGGTACAAAGCTTTTTCCATACAAGTACCAATCAGAAGTTGTCACGTAGATAAGTAGTACAAGTAGTCAAGATAGACATGACACTATAACTATTTTTTTTTTTTTTTGTCATCTCATGACACTATAACTATAACAAGGTGTTTTGAGTAAATGTATAACGTGAATATTACAAAATCTTAATCCTCGTGATTGATTTTTACTGATAAAAATATTTTAATGCTAAATTAATTAACATTTGTATCACGACGTATTAATTAGACATTACTGAGCGGGTTAATATTTCGTTGCTATTTATTGTCTTCGTCAAACACTTGTCAACAATTTATCGCAAATTAACGCTAAATTTTTATCCTATATACTCAGCGACGCATTTAAAAACAAATTATTTGTTTTAATGCTACATAAAAATACCATATGTTCTATGCGTATTAGTAATACTAAACATATAAGATTTTTTTTTTTTTTTTACTTACTAAAATGTCATTGAGTATGTATTTCTGCAATTGCCCTTTCTTCAAATTAGTCGAAATCAATGGTCTCATTGTTGTAAATTCGTCTTTGTAAACTATGTTCCCCCAACCAAATCACCATTTAATTAATAAAATAAAACACGTTGTTATCGACTTAGGAATTTTTGTTAATCTGTGTACAATTTTCAAATATGCTGGACCTTAATACTGTATTGATCTTCTTTGTTTATAGTCAATTGTACTGTAACTAACTTAACTAAGGATACATGTTTCACCCTTACGAACTTAATTCTAAATCGTGGCCAAATTCATCATAAGCAGTAATCTCAACAAAGAGCGGTCTATTTACATTTCATTGTGGATTTATCACTAATCATTTCGATTACTTTAAAACTTTGTTGGGATATTTAATATTGTCTAAGACTTTTACTCGGCAATTACTGGTAACTTGGTAAATTAATTTGTATAAAAACTTTTGTATTTGACCGGTAATGGTAAGTAGTTTTAATTCTTTATCTTTGGTAAAAAAGCAAATGGTCTTCGTCTTTTCCGATGGGCCGGTGGCCAATAGCCATGCCAAGAGATAAGTCAACGAAGGCAAGCTTATAAGGCCAGCACGCGTCATGTTTTTTAACGGTTTAACCGCACTCGCCAGCTGGCAATTACGCGTCAGCATTTTGCATTATTATTGTTATTTCGAGGTCAATTTCGTCACTGTGTTATGTACAATAGTATAACTATAAACTAGTACCATCATCACTATTATAATAGCTATAGAAAATTTGCTTCAAAAGTTGGTCGACCCTTGATAGATAAATTTTAAAATAATACTACAACTTAGTTTTTATAAAGTTTGGAATAACAGACGTTGCATTGCATAGATAAACCATAAATGGAACTTTTAAGATAGCATTAGAGCCTAATAATAAACTAGTTTAGTTTCTCTCATCCACATTTATCCATCTTTTTTATTAAAATAAAAACATGATAATGCATGTGTTGATTGGACTTACCGGAGAGGTCTTAGCGCAGCAGAACGTGAAACATCTACCGAATGCGGGAGCCATTAAACTGATCTCCTAACGATCTGTCCAGTCCAAAAACGTATTATTAAATAAATTAGAGAAACGTCTCATTGTATTATTGAGTTACATTATTGATTATCTACGTCAACATTCACTTTTTTTATTATATTTGATCCAAAACTGGAATGGTTCTGTCGACTCTTTAGTGCCATATTAAAATGCATATGTATATAAAAAAAATACATATTTGCAAGCTTTTCTTGGCTTAAAATGCTAAAGAACGTCAAGCTGGCTTTTCATTAGGAACGAAGGGTCCATAAGTCATTTTTATAAAATTTTAATTCTATGGATGAGACTATTAAAATACAATTTAACAATCTACTTTGGGAAAGCAAATGGTCATTGAGGGATTTAAATTCCAAACAAACATCATCTATAGACGTTTTGAGTTTTTCAAGCATAAAAAAAAAAATGACGAAGCAGATTTCATGTGGAATTGGTAATCGCTTAGTATAAAACTAAATAGAAGTAAGAAATAAAATACCTATGGTTTTAGGGATGAAGGAGACGGACTTGGTAAGTGCTCTTTGTTGGCTAATTGATAGCTCCTCGAAAACCTCTATGGGTGAAGACGATAAATGCAGAATTTTTTTGGGAAACTGAAATAAAAAAAAAGTCCCCCAAAAAAACGTAATTTATATATTTATTTTGGAATATCGGATATGGGTTTAGATTTTCGATGTGTTAAGGAATTCTGACGACCGTTCGAGCAATGTGGGGGCACTCTCCTTTACGGGATAGAGAAAGCGAAAGGTGAGTGAAGCAGAGCTTCTTCTTCTATTTACTTTTATTTTGTTTTTTATACGTTTTATATTTATCTAGTAAAAATCACAACCTAACAATAGATGATAATCTCATTAGATTTTTTTCTAATTTTATCTTTTTCAAATAATTAATTTTAAGATTCAGTAAAAGTATATAATTTGTCTAATGGACCATCGGATTTGCATCAACCAAAAGATCCAAAACCAGGTTTGATGGGTCCATCTACATTAATATTGGATCTGACTGGTATGTCAGATGAATAACAGAATAGCGGAATAATTGAAAAATTACTAGTGGAATGAATTGAACTGAATAATATTTTAGCTGAATAATTGTGAAACGCTGAAAAGCTACTCTAAGTAGATTAATCACGTTTTGTTTTTTTTAGTTTTATTTTTAACACGCTAACGGAATCACGTTTCAAAAACATAAAAAAACGTAAAAACGTGATGAATAACATGAATGGTAAAAAATAACAGAATCAAGTTTCCAAAACGTGAAAACGTGAAAAAACTGCATACTATTCAAGACCATTAATTTTCAAGCGTTATTAGTCTTTCTTTTAATCATACTTATACTCTAATAGCCTGGAACCGGAGCCCAGGCCCATGATTCGTGGCTAGACCTAGCCATGGTTAAACCTGATAATAAAAGGCAGATGATGCTTGTTTCTCGGCCCAAACACTTTTCATGGGCCTCTAGCAAATAATATATGCTATAGCTGAAGACTTTTGAAGTCTTGCATA